TATTAGAGATGATGAATCTGTTGGAAAAACTTTTCTATTTCTTCTCAATTGAAAACAATGTACAGATATCGAGTTATATACAAGATAAGCTTAACCGGAATCTAATCTACTAATTACAAATAAATCGGTTTGGTATATATTCACAATTGAACCATAGTTAATAACATCTGAAAAAGGGGTGAATACTTTAGGGTTTTTGGCGGTTTATTATGGTTATGATGAAATTTGTTTGTCTTTGGTATTTGTATGCTTTTCAGGATATAAATCACGATTCAGACTATCTTATTTGTCTAATCTTTGAAATCACGCTCTGTAATTTCAAAGAAGATTTTGCTTTGATCGCACTTGCCACAAATCGGGCACTTGCTACAGTTAAATTACTTTAATCTGTTTTGATCGCAGTGCACGAAGAACCATTTGTGGTAGTTATTCGAGAGTTTGCTATATAACATTGCTCTAAACAGGTATCTTTTCCACCCTTATATCTGATTTTTCATCACTCCAGGTGTAATCACTTAATGCAGTATATACATGTAGCAAGTGCCCAATAAACCAAGCAACTTCTAAAGCAATGTTGACTCAGATGATCAGCATTGTATTCAGGAGAATGTAGACTAACATTGTAAGAAATTTTGAATTTCTCATTGTAGCATATGTTTTATTGGATGCATGAAAACAAAGCAAATTTTGTATGAAAGCGCTGACAATTGAATGTGTATCCAAGTTTCTACATTCAAGCCCTAAAAATGAAGAAATTACTGCAGCTGACCAAACTGAGAAAGAAACGACCTTAGGAGATGCACTCACTCGGGCAAAAGACACAACGAACATTTAGAAAAATAGCGAGACTGGAAGAAGTTCTCTAGAATAGTCTTCCTGATAGATGGAAGACTCGTATGTTGTGGTTTTTGCGGTTGTTAATTCTTTGATCAGGGTTAGAAGCCGGCCCTTGTCAAAGTTGTGCATCTTGAAGATGGCAAGAAGATAAAACGGTATAGATCATACCACTCTGCTCAATTCTGAGTTACTGATCTATATACCAGTATGTCTTGATGCATATCTATGCTTGTGCTTCTTCAGGTACAAGCTAAAGGTCAAAGCTTTCTGCTAAATCATTCATCAGACTGAAAACAAAATCAATAAGGAATATACAAGACTTACCCGATCAGCAACTTCTTCTCCCATCAATGTTCAATTTGAGCTTCTTCTTTTTTTGTTTGTGTTCTGTAAATTTGAGAACAATGTGCCGGTAGGGTTTTTTTTTCCCTCATCCCCTTTTGGCTTTTGGTAATATTGATTTTTGCCATAA